ACCCGCAACGGGCAAGGCGAGCGTGTTGAGAAAGTTTTTTTTATATTTTTTTTATTTTTATTAGAAGATACATTTCTGCTAAAATAAATAGTGACATTTCTTTTTCAGCAAAGTATTAGAAAAAGAGAAAAGGGAGAGAGGGAAATAAAGTGTCAACAAATTTAATACTGAACCACCAAAGTGACTCTGAGAATTACCGAAGGACGCTGCCGCGTAACTCCGACCCCGGCGCTGCCCAAGGCTCCGCGTCGCCGCTTGGGATTGCTGGTCCTTCCCTCCCTGTGCAGATCCATGCAGGGAGACGGACGCTCTCAGGTGGAAACCGTCCCCGCGGAGCCACATGCAGACTGGAAGCAGCAGCGTCCCACCCCGGGTGGCAGGGACAAGGGGCCGGGAGGAGGAGGAGAGGGCCGAGGTGCTGCTGCGACAGGTACAGCCGCCCCGGGGGTACGGAGGGCTGCAGGCAAAGGCACGGGGCGAGTCTGGCACAGAGCAGCTCACGCAGGAGCCAGTGGACATGGTCCTAAAGACTTACGAGGAGAAAAAGGGGATGGAAAAACAAAGCAAAGCGCTTAAGAACCATGTTGGCAAAGCTCCAACTTTGGCAACGTGCGGCCCTGCCACCTCTTCCACCACAGAACAAGCACACCAAGACTGCACAGTGCAGCATAAAATAAAAGAAAAACCCGTTAGTTTGGGGTGTTTCCCCCACAGATCCTTTAGCGATAGTGAGCTTCCCTCTCTAGGGAAGGAGTGAAAGCTTCATCACTAGATTCATAAAAAAAAAAATAATCAAAAGTAATGGGGAATATAGGATATATACTGGGGACACCCCAGTGCTGGGAGAAAGCAAGTCTTCATTTATTCCCTGGTCTTGGAGCTGCAGGTACATAGTCCTCCCAGACTCATGAGAAAGCAATTCCTAGGTCTTACAAAGACTGGTCAGAAGCTGGAACTTCCTCCTCCTCCTTGGAAATGAGCTTGCAGCAGTAATAGCGGCAGGAGGGCAGGCAGCAGACCAAACCTGGCCTGCGCACGCTCCCTGTGGCTTGCGGAGCACGCCGGAGATGCACGCTGCTGTGTCACAGCCCGGCAGCCTGCACGGGTTAGGAGAGGGTTAGATGCACAAGAAGGTCACTGTTAGCCCCGTTAAAAGCCGTGAGTAATAGCTGTATCACAGGAAGGAGGGGGAAAAAATTAAGTGGGTGTCCGAATGCAAAGACCATTTATGTAGATCAGTGGAAAGTACAAGGGTCTGGACCCTTGAGGAGTTCAGGTGAATGTCATGGGGGCTTTTGGACAGGACCTGCTCAATGAACTCTTGGTCCAGGTTCTCAGCTCTCAAACACCATATCCTGGGGAGCAGACAGGCCCTGACGAGCACTCCCTGGGCTGCCCAGCCACACACTCCCCTGAAGGGACCAGCCACTAAAGGTGATTGTGGGCACAAGGTGAACTTGATAAACATGTGTTAACTAGTAGTTGTGCTCAGCAGCTAACACATGCCACAAGACCATCGCACAACAAAGGCTGGGCTGGATCTTTCCTACTCTTCTCATCCTTTGAGAAGTGTGAAGAATGAGCAGCACAAAGGCTAGGCAGGCCCTTGAAACTTCTTTTAAGGAGTAGCACGAAGATGTTTTGGTTTTGGTTTTTGTTTTTTTGTTTGTTTGGACAGATCTACTGTTCTTTTATCACAGTTAAAAATATACATGCACGTAAGACAACAAGCTATCACAGCATCCACGGTGCTGGCTGGGAGATAAACACAGGCAAAGAAAGGCTTAGGGCGGAGCAGTGCTCCCCCCCTCTCTGCTCACACTCTGCAAATTGGCAGAGGGAAAGCAAGAGCTTCCTCGCTGAGGGATTGGCCCTAGCTTTGGTGTGTGAGTACAGTCTGAGGCATGCAAAGGTTCTTTGGGGAGCTTAGTGTAACTAAGGAAGGACGAGGTTAAATAAAGATCAAAACTTGGGCCTTTCACTGACCACAGCAGTCAGTCTGTTGAAACGGATGGACCAGAACCAGCATGTGTCTGGGTCCAAGCACTGGGACAGGGTGGCACCAGTCCAGTCGGTTCTGATGAAAGGCCAGAGAGGATGCAGAGGACAGGCATGCCAAGCCGTGATTTCTTAGCACATTATATTACCAAGGGAGTTTTTAGTGGTTTACATAATCATATAGTGGTTAGTGGTTTTACCAGTCCAGGAAGAAGGGATTAAAAAAAAAAAAGTTGCCTCATTCTCTCCACCCATCTGCTAACACAAGCAAGGCAGAGTCAAGAGGGCAGCAGCATCTAAGCACAGATTAGATGAAGATTTTCCCATCTCCTGGCTCTGCCCCTCATGGATTTTTTGCTTCTGGATGAAATACCTTCATTCTATGCTAGTGAATATCTACATGTTCAATAGGTAGGAGGAGCAGAGATACCATTTGTGGAGCTAAGCACGAGTGCCTGTCCCCTTCCCCCAAAGAAGGCAGCGCAGAGCCGTGGAGGGGGAGGCAGTGGGGAGGAGCCCACACCAAACCAAAATAAACACCCCTTTTCCTGCCAAGTTCCATCAGATTCACCCTGCTGCCACAGAACCGCTGTTGCTGGTTCAGCTCGACTACAGTTACATCCATCTAGTAGTGAGCTCCTTCTGCAGGCTTCAGACAGTGTTGCATCTTGGAGCAACTTGTTTTATAACCCAGTATTACTAACTTGTGCTTTCAAAATCGTCCATTTTTCTCTTCCACTCTTGGTGACCTGCTGTTGCAGGGAGTGAATAGATTTACTGCTCTTTCTCCAACCCTAAGGAAGCTGCAGAAAAAAAAAAAAAGGCGACCAGGCATTGGTTTTGTGTCCCAATGCAAGAGCTTAAGCTTAAGTATGTGCAATCCCCACAGGAAGCCAGGTCTCACCCTGGTGAGATCAAAGAGTTTGTTTCTACAGAGCAAGTTACAACCAGGCTGCTACAGAGAAGGCAGTAATTTATAAGGCAGAGTCCTGCCCTGCTATAAACCTACCAGCTCTGGGCTTTTAAGAGACAAGCGTAGCCATTCCTAGAAGGCTGTGCATGCACCGACACTCCTGAATTCACTCCCACTTCTCGTGCTCCTGCTGTGCCAGCTGCACTGCAGCCCGAGTTGTGCGCCACGAGGCAGGGCTGCCAAGGGGCCGACAGAGCAGGAGGCCGGCATCCCCATCGCCCCTAACCGCAGTGCCCAAACTCTTCCAAGCCAGGACAGACTGGAGCCTGCTGTGGTACCCCTCGGAGTTCCAGCTGCGTGGTCCCTTAAGGAGCAAAGCTTGACCCCTGTGAGAGGCAGCCCCTTCCCTGCTCTTGCTGTGACCTGCCACCACAAGCCTCTCAAATAAAACATGCCCCACACAATCTCACCTTCCCACAGACACTTCACATTCCCTCCCCAATGTCAGCTGCTCGGACAATCCTGAGAGAGCTAAGTCGAGCTTTTCCAAAGCAACCCCACACTAACCCCATTCACACTGACAGGAATGGGGCCTCAAACTCTATGCTTTTATCGGGAAAACCAAAACAAAAAATAGCTTAGCCTAACCTAGTTCTTCAAAATAAGCTCAGTGATTTAACACTCAGTTCAGTGTTAAATCAGGACAAAAGTCACTTAGGGAGCAATCACAACGTTAATCAAGGTAAATACAGAGTTTTCCTACATTTCTGCAGTCCCGGTGTGGACTGCAGCAGGACCAGCTCTGGCTTCCAGTGGGGATGTAGCGTAGGGACAGAGGAAAGGATGTCCTTCAGCAAAGAAAGTCAAGGGGAAGCTTGGAAGCAAAGAGGAAAACTGGTTTGGCAATAGAGGCTACTTAATCTTTAAGTAGCATAAAGAGCTAAATAATGTCAGATTGTTCAAAAAAATATAGATATATATATGCCTATGAGCTCCAAAAACAGAAGGAAGCTAAAGCTATATGAACTCCAGAGTGTCAGCTATATCCTGATTATTTGGTGGCAAATCCCTAATGGCAATTCAAAGTGCATTATTTGGGAGAGCCCAGCTGGGCCAGCATCAGCATGGCCATGGGAAATGGCCAGGCAAGAGTCTAAAGCAAGGTGCCTGCTCACGCGCTTCCTCGAACGCAGAGACCCCCTGCCTGGCCCAGCAGGCAACAAATGGCTACAGTCATCTCCACCAGTCTCCGTCCCTGGGAAATTCCCTTTGCAGCATATTTGGGAGCACAGGGCAGCAGGCTGCCAGGGGCTGAGGCTGGTCCCACGCTGCGTGGCCCCCCTTCCCACCCACCCCGTTCCCCCCCGGCAGCAGGCTCAGAAGAGCGGCAGGCACTCCTTTGCATAGTCTAGAGGTGGAAGCTTCATCAGAAACCCTTCCTGCGGGAAGAGGGACGCCTGCATGTCCACGTTGATGCAGAGCAAGCCCATCATGAGCTGCCGCTGGTACTCCTCCCACTTCAGCATGACGTCGGACAGGGAACGGTTACTTCTCATCCACATGGGCAGTGCATCACCACATGCAGCTGCCGAAGAGATGGGCAGGGTCTGGGTCCCTCCAAGCTCAAGGTGATAGTAAAGCCTGAAAGGTAAACACACACACGGAATCAGTACATGGAAAGCTTCACCAGATCAGAGCTTCAGAAACCACCAAGTGCTTTTGTTCTGCCATTAACTGCATGATTTTAAGGATCTCTTCTGTGTGCCCATTTCTGCCCTCACATCTCTCGATTATTCAAGCCATGAACTCTTGTGGGTAAGAATCATCACTTTTACCAACATCCTGATCACTGCTAGGACCTCTGACTACTACTGTAATACAGAGTTTCCTGTCCTCATCTGTGCAGGAGAGTCTTACCTCAGCCTCAAGCTACAGCCTGCAGCAAGGATTTCAGTTCAGAGGCACAGGTCAGAGCCAAGGCACAGGTCAGAGCCAAGGCACACGTGAGCAGCCAAAGCTCTCTGCTCCACGTGGAGCCCATCTGATGCCTCCTGGCCAACACACTGCCTCTGCAGCCCAAACCAGGCTTACACTCCTAAGCAGAAAAGGTCATTTTGAACTCAAATATCCTTGAGAGGGACAATCTAAGGGATCCTGGGCTGGCAAGCACCACACACATCTGTTTTCTACCAAGAAGTTAGCATAGTGTTTTAGTTATACCTGCATCTTCTGCCCTATTGCTTTGGTAACAAAAAGCTTCATTACAAGGTCTCTCTGGGAGGAAGGAAGAGGATGATGTCCTGAGTCCATCCAACAGTTAAGAAGGCCAAAAGACCATGAACCAGATTAACATTTTAAGTTGGGCAGTAAATCCTTCCAGTCCATTTGTGCCTTAGTTGCTCTGCTCTCATTGAGTAGATTCTATAGAAGGGAGGGACAGAGACTGTTCTCCTCCAGAGCAGTGCAGTGGAGGGAAACAGCCATACCTGGCTGAAAGGTGACTGCCCAGTTTCTTTTTGGCTTTCTTCACAAGGTAGTTGCAGATTTCAGTCATTTGCTCCCTCATCCATCTGATATCCTCAGGGATATCTGGTAACCATTCCAGCAACCTGGGAGACAGGACACAGCCATTAGTTGGACCGCACAAAGGATAGCAGGGAGCCGAACCACTAGAGCTTTACTTCCTGTCCAATGGGCCGAGATACGAGTTGTTGGGGGAGAGAAGAGAAATACATTCTATGCAATGGTTTTAAATGTTAACACTTCTTTTTCTTCCAATCGAAAGACACCTAGTTTTGCTTCCTAGAAATAAGTTACTCATTATTTTTAGAAACAAGTGCAGCAAGAGGTCTTTCCACCACCATTCACAGAACTGAGGGGGAGCAGCTGTGAAGGAGAAAAATAGCTCAGAACTTACCTTTATGGAAAGTGCAGCTACAAAATGTACTCTCCATCCTTTCCAGATTTGGAAAATGTTTTTCCTCTAATGCTTTGTACCATAAACTGCTTTCTACCACATACTGCCTCCCTCCAAGAAACTTTTCATGGAGTACTCTGCCTAAAGAACAAGTCTCTGATGGATCTGCCTTCCCAGATGTACAGTGCAGAGCTGCAGAGAACTAGGACTACTCTACCCCTACCCTCAGAGGAACGAGGTCTCTTGTGTTGTTCCTATTTTGATCCCCGCACTTTCAATTCAGAAGTTTTTCCTCCAGGCTCTGAAGCTTATCAGTAACCCCTAGGGCAAGCTCCAGTATGCAACCATCTTTCTTTATGCTGAAAGTATTGGCTGTAGCCAAGTGACATGGGGAGGGGAGAATGATTTTTTCGTGTGGCTCATAACTGGCACGAACACTTTTGCCAGGAAGTCTGCACTGCAGAGTTGGAAAGGATCCTACCTCCCTCTCCATTCATGTTCCACCAGCTATACCAAACACTTGACTCCACTGTCAAGAAAGCCACCAAGGGCAGCACCAGCTGAAGGCCTACCTGACTGTGAAGGAAACGGCAGACTCCAGAGGCAGCATGTAGGGGACCATCATTGCAGTAGCCACACGTATAGGCAGCATGTTGGAGATACCAGTCAAAAACCCTCTTCTTTCAGCACAAGCCTCCATAAGAGCTGAATACAGAGAGAATGTAGTTGAATTCTCCCAGCAGGGCTGTTTCCTTCCCTCCCGTATCCTTGGAGTTACTACCAGAGCAGTACCTACTCTGGGATCTCTCCTCTCCACTTCTAGTTCTTAAGAAAGTTTTGCTCAGGGGAATCATTTTCTGAGCATAGATGAGGAGTAGCATCACCTTATGTTTTATCAGGGTCCCAAAGGAACAAGCACCAAGATCCTCATCCTTTCCTCACCAAGCAGGAGTCTCAAATAAGTGACCCTCTTGCAGCTCTGCCTCCACAGGCCAAGCCACACATTTATCTAAGAGGTTCAGACTCCAGTTAAGCACAAGCTGCTGCTAAGCTCAGTCACGGGAATGGGATCCAGGAAAGCATGGTCACAAATATCCACATCCCAGCAATCCCCTGGGGCCCAGGAAGCCTGGACTCTCTCCCTCGGGATCATACCTTGGTTCAGTCTGGGAGGCAAGTGTTCAAAGATGTGCTCTTCAACTGCAGCAAGGGCAGCATTGTCCTCCAGCTGGTCCTCAGCTTCTGTTTCTTCCTCTTTCTTCTCTCCTGGAGGAGCTTCTATGGCAAGGAGAGGACGGGCAGGACTTGGACGATGAAGGAGACCTGAGAGAGAAGTCAAGCAATCAGCATGATGCAAACTAGCTGCTCTGCCTGCCTGGCCTTTGGAGTGTTAGGCCTTGCTTCACCCTAACACACTCCTCAGCCAGACAGACATCGCACCCAGCCTGTTTAGGTTATATCTATTGCGATGTTTACTGCCACAGACTTAAATCTGGCTGCTTTAACATCACCTTGTCTTTCCCTGCCAGAAATTCTAACATCTCTCTTACAAGCACTGAAGAATGCAGTTTGGTGACATTTAATTGCTACATATTCTACCAGTGAATACCAATTTTTCAGGCAGGATTCCCCTCCTGCAGCTTAATCCATAAATACAGCTGCATGATTGCTCTTATTCCAGGAAGGTATTGCAGCACAGAGCAAACAAATACACTTGACCTGCTGCAGGTGACGCTGGGCAGCACCACAAACACACATGCTACAACAGCTGTGGGAGACAAGAAAGTCCAGAACATAAAAAGGAGGCACACAGGAGCTCCCACTGCCAGGCCCTGTGGACAGTGCTCACCTGTGCCACCTTCCACAAGTCCTAGTTACACCTAAAAAGGAGCAGGGCACCTGCATGAGCCCTGCTGGTGCCCAACAACCATGTTGGGCTAAGCGGCCTCCTTGCCCAGTTGTGCCAAAGCCACCGTGGCTCTGGTCTCAGAGCTGTTAGAGTCCTTCTGTAGCACCCTGTATAGGGAGCCATGTCCACTCTGCTTCTGCTTCCCCAAGTGCTAAAATCTACTTCTTTTTAGAACTTCCATATTCCCCACATCCGAGGTGAACCTCTCCCTCCCACATGCCCCAGATCAGCTCTGCCCCACACACTGCCAGCTCCCTGCGAGCCCGCGCAGAGCGGGCGCCGGAGCTGCCCCCAGGGCCTTACCGTTCTTCTTCAGGAAGTGCAGCGCATCCCGGTATCCCTGCTTGCACATATCCCGCAGCACCTGTGCGAAGGGACAGGGGAGCACAGGTCACCTGGAGAGGCTCTGGCTGAGCAGAGCAAACACCCTGTTCAAGGCTGGCTTTACAGGAACTCTCCGCACTCCCAAGCTACACCAAGCACAAAGCTCTCGCCAGCCCTTCACAGGCTTTGTGCTGGAATAGGAGGCATAACACAAATGCCTTTGATAAGGGAATCGCAGGATAATTCAGGTCGGAATGGGCAGATCCTATGTGTACATGGGCTTAGATTTGGACAATTGCCCATTTAGAGCTGAATTTACTGTAGGGAGCCTTTAGGAAGCCACCTGAGGAGCAACCAGCACAGAAACTTCCCAGCAGATGCCAGGAAGGGCCACAGGGTGTTTGCAGACAACGTGGGCTGAAAGGGAAGGGGAGTGGGGAGGGGACAAGGAGAAACTTGTCCAAGTGATTCAGCACACGGACTCCTGCTTGTTGCGCTGCAGTGCCAGGGCTCTCTAATGCTGAATTGGCCTTCCTCAGAGGAGAGGCACACAGAGCTGTTTAGAGTGTCACCTGTTCTACTGGCACATTTTAGGAGACTGTCACTGGCTTCAGGCTGGCAGCTCCCACCTGACCTTAAGAAGCCTGAGAGCATATTGTTTCAGAGAGCTTATACATCCTTGTTTAGAAGTAGGGCTGGCTTCCTGACAAATGCCAATTTAGAGAGCCACATGGCAATATTTTCCAAGCAACTGCTAGCACCTAAAGTTCAGATCTTCCAGAAGCAAGAGAAAGCCAAGATGTCTATACAGCTTTGTGCAGATGGCTAAGGTTTGCCAAGTCACCGAGTTACTACTGTCAAGGTGAAAAAACAGACAAACAAGAGATACAGAAATAGTGTAGTGTCTAGAATCCTCTTCTGTTGAGCTGCACTGCACTGCCAGTGTCTATCCACTGTCCCTAAACCTTGGCACTGCCAGGAATCTCACCTGTGGCTCTGGAGGGAAGAGGGCCTTGGAAAGGCGATAGAGGTTGCGGAGGTTGAACTGGATGCTTGTATTGGTGACTCTGAGCTCGTGCATGTTTGTGGAACTGTCCCGGGGACAGATATCACTCTCCCCTGAAAACGGAGACACTGTGATTGTGTTCTTCAGCTCATAGCGGGGCAAGTTATCAGAAATCCCTCCGTCCACATATCTCTGCAATAAAGACAAACAAAGCAGCCTCATTCATAACTGATTAAGCAGCTTTTCTTTTCTCAGTGTTGCTGTTCATGTGTGAGCCAACAACTTGGGAAGAGAATGGAGAACATCCACCAGCCCTGGAGGAATTAAAAGCAGTGATATCACAGCTGTATTGTCTATAAACTCTTCTGTTATGTGCTTTTTTCCCCTCGTACTGTGTTTTGCTCCCCTGGGTTCTCCGCGAGGAAGGCATGATTCACCATCCAACTAAATAAAGACACCCCAACAACCCCTTACATGGCAAATGCACACTGGTCTCAGTTGCCACAGTGGCACTGAGCCACTCAGACCATTCTCAACTTGTTTTTAAAATTAAAGAGCTCAGACACAGGTCCCACTAGAGGACAGGCTGTTAATGGAGAACAAAAGCAGCTGTCTGTTGCGAGCAGGCTTAGCAGACAGCAGTCCCAGCACCTGCATACACATTCGGAAGCCGTGAGCTTTGGCATGATAACAGAGTACAAGGGACTTGGGTTTTGCCCCAGCAGCCACCCTATTATCAGAGAATGTTCTGTACATACGTACCATAAATACATTTGTGCTATCCCTGCAGGAGGGACAACCCTGGCAGTGTGGACACGATTCAAAGAACTCTTTAAAGCAGCACAGTTGCACAAGGAGCTGAGCAAAACAATCCCTATCACAAGCCTCTGGCAGAGCAAGCAACATGCAGGAGATAAAAAGGAAGGGTTCATGGGCAAGGCTGAAGGAGTAGCAAGTTTGAAACCCTTGCAGGTCAACAACTCCAGCTCTGGTGCATCCTTGTTGCAGGAGACTTCTACCAATTTCACAGCAGAGTTGGTCCTCATTTTTAGTGCCTGTTTTTGACCATCCCTTTGGATGGCTTGCACAGTCCTATCAGCAGCAGCTGCAGCAAAGCCAAAGAGGAACCCATGTGGCAGCTCGCTCTGGTGGTCAGAGGTGAGCAGGCACAAGGCAAAGCTGGCAGAGGCTGAACCCAGCAAAGCAGGGGAATGCTGATAGCAAGAGCAGCTCCTTCATCCTGCCCACTGCACTGCTCTCTCACAGGCAGACCAAGAACTGACATTGGTCTTTTATTGCACAATGCCTAGAAAAATCCTTCCCATTTGGGTCAGAGGGTGCTTTATGCTTTGTTCTCTTTTGCTCTGGAAAAGAGACAGGGAGGGACCTCTTTGATCAGCTCCTGTGAGCCCAGAGAGGACCTCACGGGCTCTGGGGCTCAGAGCCCCAGTAGGAAAGGTCTGGCTGCTCCCAGTGCAGGGAGGAGACCCAGAGAGGAGCAGCGGGAAGAGGACACAGCAATGCAAGCAGCCTGAGTGCCAGACAACCATGCTGGCTATAGAAGATGGAAGCAAATGTTTTTGTGGCTTTTCTAGAAAAATGCACATTTTATGGCCAGGATGCAGAAGCATAAGTTTCCCTGAGGGTGGCAGCATAAGTGAACACATATCATCAGAAAGAAGTGTTCACACATACCCCCACACTCCTCATCTTCCCCTTTCGGGGCTACATAACTTTGAAGTGAGCACTGGAGAAAGCTTAGGAAGAAGGCAGGATTTGATTTTACTTTGCCCACAAAGCTTTTGAATGCCATGAAAACTGCTTGTCATACTTTGATTAGCCTGCAAGTCTGTCCCATGGTAAACACAGTAACTGCAGGAGAGCTAGGAGCTATACAGTCCAGCTTCAAAGTCTTTTTGCAGTCTCCTACCCTCTCCCCTCACCAGCCCCTCCTTCAAAGGAGGAAAGGGCCATTATTTTCTAGGGGAGGGAGAAGAATTAATGTTCTCATCATATTCCTTTTTTTTTTTTTTCTCCTCCCTTTCTTCTCCCAGAGAGAGTGCTGACACAGGAGATACTGCCTTGGTGTGCCTGGGCAGTTGCAAATTCCAGAAACCCCGATGCTGTATGCACTTGAGAAGGGGTATTTTTCTCAGGCCAAGCTGACCTTAGTGGGCTCCCAAGAGATCCCCTGAAAGAGCCACCACTAAACACACTCCCACCAGCTGTGGGGCAGGGTCCCAGGCTACAGCTGTTGAGCAAACACTGGAGTGTTACCAAATTTGTCACTTCTCTGAAAACATTTCCTCTAATTGTGTTTACTCTAGATCACTTCCCAGCCCAATATGTTTGCACAAGACAAAAACGGCCAAACTATGTATTATGCAGGAACAAAAACGACTCAATGTTAGGACACAGGGAGCAATGGGAAGAAATTCAATGCCCTGCTCTGTCAGACTGTGGCATCTTGGCCAGGTCCCTCGAGGAGAAACCAAGACATATGTAGGTTAACAGTTCCCTCTGACTAGTTTGCAGACAGACTGCTTTTTAATGTGTGCATTAACTTGTGTAGGAGAATGGGAGTCCAAGCTCAGCTGAGGCCCTACAGCACAAATGCAGAGACACCCCAACACTTGTTCCAGCTCTGGGTACTTTGAAACCTTTCGACAGAGAAGGAAGGGGTTACTGCAGATGGTCCTCGAGAGGAAGCAGTTCAAAAGCAGTGGGTACCTTTTAAAGCTCTATCAGGCAGCAGAGCACTACGCTCAGTAGAAAGCATAACAGCTTCATGGAAGAGAGGCAGTGTTTGTTAGGGAACTGTATGAGCACTGCAGGACCCCCAGTCTTCCCTGTGTAGCGGATCAGGGAGTTATCCTTCCCTGTCATTGCCAGCACAATCCTGCCCCACCATCCTGCAGCAGCAGCCTGTGGCTCTGCAGTATAACTTTAAGTACTATTAGCCAGTGAACATTTCCTGCCTCCAGCCTTCACTCCTCTAAACATTTTCCAAAGACCAACCATTATTCTGTTGAATCTTCAGATCTTTGGGCAATTTTCAGCCAACTGCAGGCAGCACTGAAAGGCAGGTACATGCAGTGGAGAACCCCAAGTCTCATGTTTTATAAAGCCAAGATTTGTCAGTTCACAGCCAAGATGCTGTGTCATTGAAGCTATTTATCTGGACATCTCCCGAGCCTCTTCAAGCTAGTTACTGCCAGCAGGCAGGCAGCAGGACTGTCAAAATTGAGCACTAGCATTTCTGAGTTCTCATTCGTTAGCACATGATTTAATGAAAGAGTATCTTAGAGTCTTACTTACCACACCACGTAAGGTTGGAGGTATCAGCCCACAATAGACAGGGATAAAAGTGCTGCAGACACAGGCCTGAGGGAGAAAGAGATCCAGCATGTAACCCTTCGAGTTAGAACCAGGTCAAAGCCTACTGAACCTATTACTCTTCTCAGAGTACCACACTGGCACATCCTGACAATTATATTCCATTACTAAGAACACTTATAAACCAAGACAAAACAAAACAGCTTGCAGCTCCTCCCCCCTCTGATGTATGTTCCCATTCACCTGGATTAGCTCCTCCTTGGACTTGAAGTCAGACAGTATCACATTTTCTCCATCAGAGACCCGTGTGAGGGAGATGCCCAAGCGCCCTGCTGCTACCTCATGCCCATTCTCTGGCACAGTCTTGGACAGGCAGATCCGAATGGTTTTCACCAAGTTGAAAGATGGGTGGAGTGGGCCCAAGAACCTCTTCCGTGCCTCTTTTGACACTCGAATGATACTGGCACCAGCCTCACCTGCAATGACAGAGAAATGCAACGTGAAACGTTAGACAAAACAGCCTTCTTAAAATCAGGTATAGGAAAGCCTTATCCGGCTTTACACAGAGGTTTATTCCACCTGTTGATATAACTTGAGATGAAAAGCTGCAAGGAACAGTGTTAGAAAAGTCACAGAAGTGTGAGAGCTGATGGCTCTCACACTTGCTCACTGTCATCCATCACCTTACACACTACGTAAAGTCCAGGAAAGATCTTCACTAGATGCTGCTTCACTGATCAATGCAGGACCGACAGAAAGACAAAACACACACACACACAAGGACACTGCTTTACAGCTTTGAGCTTGTGGCTAAACCCACTCCAAAACACCTTCCACCAAAACTTTTCTAGCAAACACCTGTTTTTCTAACTTGAAGCAAATCACCTATCAGTACACAGAAGCACTACTGCTTTCCAGCTAATCAGTTGTCAACGGCTCTCTTGCACATCTCAGCCACGTTTCAGGCAAGTAAAATGGAAGCAGAGCTTTCCTGAGTTTTTTGAAGGGCTACTGTATTCTATCAGCACTGGTTGAGCATCATTCCCAAACCACATCTCCTATCCCATATAGGTAGAGTGAAAGGAGAGAGGCCTTTTGAGGAGCTGAGTCAAGATCACCATCTTGACTAGGACTCTGTCTGCTATGCTCCATTAGTGAAGGAGTGACCTAGGGACACTCGGGGAGACTTTGGTGCATCGTTCCCTGCACCGAGTCCCTTTCCGTTGCACTAAAACAGGCCCTGGCAGTGAGCAGGATTCAAGACGTGTGATGTTTTACACTTTCACATAGTGACCCAGCTGGGGTTGGAGGGAAAAGACACATCCCATCTGTGCAAAAGGAAAGGCATCTAAGCCCGTTATCTCACAGTCACTAGGAACCCAATCTGGCAAGCACATCAGGGCTCTGCACTGGGGAGGGGAAGATAGAATGGAGAGGAAAAGAAAACAGAGCTCAAACAACAACACCAAGCGCAGCCAACGCCTCAGCACCAGCATGCTGCCCTCTGCACACACTGACTGCTGCCTCCAGGCCTGTCTCCCAGGCAGCACGAGAGGCAACACCAAATTCCTGGGCGCCAGGCAGCCACTGCCCTCCCGGGACACAGGGAACATACAGCCCAGAGCAGTAAGGGGAGGAGGGGAAAGCAGCCGTGCTCTCTCAAATGATGATTTCTCTCCAATAAGACTGAAGTTATTCCTGGACAAAGATGAAACAGCCTCTCAGTTCAAGTCCAAGTTTCTCTCTTCCCCACCCCGTCTTGCAACCACAAAAAGGGAAGGGAATAAGCCAAGTTAGACCTAGGTTAATAAATAGAGATAAGAGCAACACCCTCAGCATTATTCTGACACAGCCCATTCTTTTGCAAGACGTGTGCTACAGCAGCATGTTTTCCAGCAGCACCGCATGGGAATGCGATGTTATGTCAGGAAAGCCGCCACCACCGCTAGATCCAGCAAGCACAGAACCAGGCCACGGAGTACAACCACAGATCTGGAGTGAGGGTTTTAGGTACTGAGAAGTGACTACTTAGCAGAAAACACAAGTTCCCTTTTTGAAAGAATTTTCAGCATCATGTCCCTGGTCTTCTGCTCCATCCTGGAGCCATGTATAGCAGCCTAACTCTGATCTTCTCTACTCAACCAGCAGCAGGCCATTGGGCCCTAGTAGGTGCATGGTTCAACACCCTTCCTAACAGGAGGGGAGCCAGCCTCACAGTGACTGACACTTCATGCCAGGGGAACCCTACTTAGTGCTCCCTAAGACCTGACAGATGGTGCTTAGAAAGAGGTGCTTCCAGACTACACATATTAGCATGTAGAAATACTTAATAACAACACTGATAACAACTGCAATTAAGTTCAGCTAGTGACTAACACTAGAGCTAAAAATCTAAGGTGGCAATTGCTTAAACATTTAAACAAGTTGGAACAGCAAAGTCCCAACTACGCCAAGAACAGACTGCCCCACTATTTGAGGATGGACATTGCAGCTGCCTACTCTATCTACACACAGCTCAGTGCAGGGGAGAACAAGGGGACAAAACAAGACATTTCAAGTTAGCAACTTCCTCCTTTGACACATTCTTTTATTTTATACATGTGTGTACACCCATACAGAGATTATGCACAAGCAGCTTTGGGTTATTCTACACGAAGGGCAGCTGCAATGCGACCAGAGTTGCTGACTCCCTCATGCTGGTGGCAGTGTGGATTTGCAGCATCTCCAGCATTCCTGGAAATGGGGCCAGCTCAGGGCTCAGCTGGAGGAGCCAGGTTTACATAGCTGGGTCCATCACAAGGCCTCTTGGAAAAAAAATTGGGAGGAGGAAGAGGAGGTGAAAGTGCTTTAGTCTCACAACTACCAGAAGAGCCATTCCAGGAAAAGCAGTGCAAATCCCAATTGGATTTTGCAGAGGCTGCCAGAGGGACCTGCTAAATAAGAGGGAACAGAGACGAGTCCCGCAGGGGTCAGCCAAAAGCTGCCACTTACTGGGACTAATCCAGTGCCAACTCCAGTCCACAGAAAAGATTCCCATGGGTTTTGATAGACCTGGTGATTCAGGACACAGGTCACATGAAAAACATGAGCTAAGTTCCTTTTCGTTTCTGGGGTATGAGCCAGGGGACACAGACAATCATTAGCAGCTACGTTGCCTGCTGAGAAACGCTTCCTTCTTCTCCCACCAGCCAAGTCACCCAGCACTTCTCCCCATACAGATTTACTAAACCAAACATTCCTCTTAAAGGATAATACAGTAAATATTTCATTTCCTTTTGAAAAGTCCTTCTTCTCCACAGCATGTTTTGTCAACACAAGCCCAAATGCAGCAGGGCAGTTGTGACTCATCAGGGCCTGGGTGGAGACAGTCAGACAGTCCTAAACATAGTGGCTAGGTCCCCACGGAGCAAGGGAGGCCAGGGCACCCGTCTGCCACTCCAGCCTGGATCCTCTGCAAGGGGCCTGGTACCCTCACCCAGGGGAAACAACCTGAGGGTGACTGCCAGCTCCTAAGTTGTTTTCTAGCTACGTCACACCAGCCATTAACTAACTGGCATGGCAAGGTAGCACATTTAAAAAAGTGGAAGCTGTCACTTCCACCAGTCATGTTTGACTCCGAAACAGCCCAGTTACCAAGTACCAAGTGCCCTGCATGCTCAGTAGGGTTGCCCAGCACAGGACAGAACCAGAACAAGGCACCGGTCCCACCTCTCCAAGAGGAGCAGGACAAAGCAGATCCCCAAGCTATTTCAAGAACCCAAAGGAACTATGACCCACTGCAAACCTCAACAGCTTTCCTTCTGCAGGCTCATTCCGCTAAAGCACCTTTCCCTCCCCTGAGGAGCACTCAGGAGCACGTGCTGTTCACAGCTGCACACAAGCACCCCCAGCCAGAGCAGCCACCTGACTGATGCCAGCTGAGGCGAGCGATGTTCCCAGCCAGATGGAACAGGACGGTTACTCCTGTGCAACACACACAGGCGAGGACCACAAGGGCTGAGTGCTCCATGCACCTTCTTGGGAAGCTGCAGGAGGGGTGGTGGGAAGGGAAATCGGGCCTTTTCAGACCTGTCTCTTCAGGCAGGAGGGCTTTGGCTGTGCTCTTGCACTGCACGCACATTGCATCTCGCCTGTTGACGCAAGACCACCCAATATCACCAGTTTTCCAGTCAGCGTAAGGACAGCTGATCCATAAAGCATTTCAAGAGAGGCAGGTGGAAACAGACCTCCAGGACACACTGAACAAAAATAGGAGCAGAGTGGTGGGGAGGGAGGGGGCCCTCGGGACATTCCACCCAGCAGCTCGGCTCACCAGTGACATTGCGGCTCCCTCTGGAAAGGCTCCATGTCAGTACAAAGATCACTGCCTGCGTCAGGGACATTTCTGCTCCCCCAGAGAATGAAGCAGTAAACAAGAGTGTAAGGCATCCAAACAGGGATGGAAAATGAAGGACAGCATGGATGGCGACAATGCCAAGGCAGCATCTCCCCTTCCGGCTGACAAAAGGGACATATGGGGAAGCCAGTGGCGACTGCATCCCAAGGAGCTTCAGGACATTACTATACTTGCGGCAGTGTCTAAGCCAGCCCTCCTGCCCCAGATTTGCCTTGCCCTAGCTCAAGGGTCTCTTGGAGCAGGTCTAACGCCTCTTTCCAGACTCTTTTAAGGCCCTCCTGCTGCCTGCTGGTGTCGTGGAGGCGACAGTCCCTGTAGTTCAGACAGTAGAGGTGGCAATTCCTTTGGGCTCCTCAGAGAGCCGCCTCTGCTACCCAAACTACAGTGTCCTGCAGTGAGGAGCTCGGGCAGCGACACTCCGGACCGCAGGTGCCTGAGCTAACGGAGCGGGCAGGGAACTGCACAGCCCCCATAGATCCATGTTATTCCCACGTCTCACGCAGCACCAACAAAAATCCAGACAAACTCCTTCCCACGCATCAGCTACACCCAAGGTACCGCTCCTCTCTGCAGTCCCATCACCAAGCTACGACTCCAAACTGGCCAGACACGCAGACACTGAAAACTTTGAAGGCAAGCCAAGCAGCGGAAGGAACTGCAGGTGCTTTTGACATTGCCCCAGTTCCAGGAGAGCTTAACACCATACTAGTGCAGGATTTAGGCTGCAAGTTCCTCAGCTCAGAAGGCAGCTCCCATGCACTGCGAGCAGGGTGCAGCCCCAGGCAGCTACGTGGAAAGAGGTTTGCATGGTACCAAGCATGATGCTCCATGCTAGAGCTGCCAGCTGCAGTCTCTGCCTCTGCACTTGCTCTTGGCTCAGACACTCGCTGCAGCATCACTGGAGCTGTCAACGTTTCCTACCAGCAGATCCCTGTCCAGGCCTGAACTTGGGAACAGCTGAACCAGAAGGCAGCCACCGGCATGATCTCACTCCAGGCTAGTCTAGTTTGGCTGCTTATCCCTTACTGCTCCACCTGGGAACCTGTTCCAGCACCTCATCTTTGAAGAGCTAACAGCCAAGATGCAAGTTGGAGCACAGCGATCCGGGATTCCTCCCCAAAACCCACGAAGTCAAGCAGCACACGAGTTCTTCCTGCCTGGTCTCTCCCACGAGGACACTAACGCAGTCCTGTGGTCAGCCTGAGAGTGCAAGGCTGTAAGCAAGAGGCACTGAAACAAAATTTGTAAACAAACAATTAGGAACAAAAAAAACGATATTTCCTCACAGGCAGCTCAGAAGTGCCTACATGCTCACCAGAAGAAAAACCACAGAGCAAGAGGCCCCATGATCCAAGGACAACTCATTCTCGTGGGCAGTGGCCTCAGTTTGTGGAAGATACTCTCTGCTTGGCTGGCTGGCTGGCTGTGCCCCTGCCCATGCTCACGCTGAAGCAAGGTAGTTTCTATTCATTACCCCAAGGGAGCAAAAAACAGTCAGGTCTTCACAGACCGGTTTATGCTAAGTGGGAGCCTGACCCAAGATGTTCTCTGACTGCCTACCAGGGAGGAATGGAGCATTTAGACGAATGTCAAAAGGGGACCCAAAGATAAACCCATGTCTGTAGAAAACAAAGCAAGAATTTACTATGCCCTGCTAAGACACTTCCAAGTGACAGGCAGACCCCAGACAGACTAGAGTTCTCTGGTTTAATTTCCAGTGTGAAATCTTAAAGATAGATGTGTCAACAAAACTTGTGTGCACGTAGAGAAATCTGTCCCTCACTTGCCAGAATGTGTATATTGCTCAATGAAAAAGCTGCCCATTTTGGAGCATGTCAGCCTGAGGGAAGGCAGCTAACATGAACCCTCCGAAGTCACCAATTACTTTCACATCTGTGCATATCTTCCTCAAATATTGAGAAATGCCATGCAGCAGAACAAAGTGTTCTGGGACTTCCTTATTTTCTGTTGTTTTGAGGTATATTTAGCTGTTTATTTTGAGGCTTTCACTCATTCCTTCTCTCCAACTATCTTGCCATCAGATAACAAGAAACAGCTCCAGATTATGGATACAGAGAGGAAGTTTTCCCCCATGCTGATGCAAACACAAACCTCAAAGCTTGACAAACAAACGACTGTGAGGGCAGGTTCTCCAAGGCTGGCCAGAGAGAAGGGCAATGAAACATATGATATCAGAATTAGCTCCTAGGAACCCCCATCAGCTGCTACAAGGGATGCCTAGCCTCGCTTTACAGGCGGGGCAGAGGAAGCAGCAAGATGGAGCGATAGCTGTTCAGGTAGGACCAGCTCCTGCAGACAGAGGCAGCTGCTGAAGGAAGGGCTCAGTCCATCACACGTCCCGGCCCGGCTTCACCCTGCTCAGCACTGCAAAGCCGAGGTGTGAGCAGTGCCAGGATGCAGGTTGCAGTGGGAAGAAAGGAAAGCACAGGCATCTGCAACGGTTGCAGAACCAGGACCCTCCCTCTTGCTAATGTATTTGTGCCAAAGATGTTTCTTTTCTACTTAGAAGAAAACTTCAAAAAGCACAAATGTATTAAATTAAGTAAATCCACAATGAAAGGAGTCCCTTTCCCCTCTAAGCCAAACCAATAGTCACCTTGTGTTGTTCAGGGCACCAGTTAAGAGATAACAGAACTACAACCGTGTCCTGGGCGTGGGGAGCAGATAAGGAGAATACCTGCATTTACGTCACCCATTTTCCCCACTTGCACAGGGCAGCTCACAGTGACTGTGCCTGCCTGTCCTCGCACGGGCTTCCACAGGGCAGGCGCTCGTGGAAGCTGCAGAGCAGATGCACCAGCTCATGTCCCATGAAGCAAGTGGGTCTCCTCAGGACACAAGCAAAATTGCTCTGTGAGAATGGACAGGAGAGCTGCCAGGCTGGGTCAATCTCCCAGGGAAACCTTTGCAGTGCCCTCTGGGGCTCTGTGCTGGACTCGAGGGAGCAAACGGAAGCCTCACCACCTACTGACGTCCTGCGAGCCACAGCCCGCTTTGTTCCCGTGCCCAGGACCAGCGCTTGCAACACAGGCCTGAGAAGAGAGCGGCTGCTACTGGGAAACCATCTAAGCGATGCCAAGAGGCGGCTCAGGGCAGGCAGCCAGCCAGGATCTCTGTCACAACCACAACAGCAATCCCCACGAGCCTAATCTTTTTCCACTGTAACACCCTAATACAAAGCTTAATTTGGCATTTGTTTTCATTATGGTAAAGGAGTTAAAGAGCATAAGAGCACATGAAGAGGAGAGGTTGCTCAGGATGCTGGGAAGGCTGCAGTGAAAGCCACATCCTGTCTTCATCCATCCATCCATGTCAGTCCTACAGCACAGTTCAGGCTGCGCTGGAGAGGAGAAGGCAGAAAGGGATTCAGGAAGCTGGTCCAGCTCAGATCTCTGCTGCTTACTCTGAGCCGAGCGATGTTGGTTCCCAAGTCATCCTTTAAACCAAATCTCAGCAAGAAAGACAGGGGAGGGAAGAAACAAGAGCTGGGGTAGAAATAAAAACACATGCTTCTCCCAGGAAGGCTGAAGAGCCCTTCTCCACTGCCCTGCACTGAGGCACACACGGTGCAGGGGCAAGAGCGAGCGCTGTGGTGTCAGCCATCGCCCTCGGCAGGCTCACACAGCAGAGCACCACAGTGGCCCATGCAGAGCTGCCTGCAGCTCTCAGCACAACCCTGCCACATGCCCTCCTGCAGCGAGGCAGGGACCGCTGGGGGCCCCAGAGATGTTACCAGAAACACAGCTGGCTCCATCATTCACAGAAGGGCAGCCCGCCTCCCTTCTGCCCATCCTCACTTACTGTACACTCGCACAGCTGCTAGAGCACGGCCGGCCCTGGCACAGACCCACGGGAGCCCTCTGGAGCCTCCCGTGATGCCCGGCTCCCTCATGCTCGCGCTGCTGGCCAACTGCTCAGCACCAGGCAAGCGCTTCCCCGCACGCCTGCGGCACACGGCTCACCGTGCCCTTCCACCGCACACATGTGAGGAGACACCCAGCAACACCCTGAACTTCTCCCACCTTGCCGCGGTGCTGGCAGAGCGGGCCACCTGCAAGGAAGCGGGAAGGAGAAGTTTTGTTCCAAAGGGGTCCTCAGCAAAAGACAGGAAGCCCAGATGCTTTTTCATCTGGGAGGAATCTCTTCCTGCATGAAGGAGCTTATTTGGAAAGGGGTCTCAGGAAGGTCAAAAGGCATTCCTGGGGCCTGAGGCACAAGAGCATCTAGAGACCCACACTACCTCTTCCCCACAGACATCCAGCCCAACAGCCACAAGCCTCGAGTGTTGAGGTGACTGAAGTTCTGCAACCAGACACGTGGCCGGGACAGAAGAAGCTGGCAGAGCCTTGCACAGACCCCCCTGAAGGAAAAGATCCCACTTAATCCTTCCCGCAAGGCTGAACAGCGCAGAACAAGGAGGGTAGCAAGTCACATGCAGCAATGTAGGAGTTAACACAGCCAAAAACCAACCCACAGGCATAAGTACAGTTAGTAGTTAAATGGCTAGTTTTTCCTCCATAAAAAAAAAGTTTCAATTAAAACTACCATTGCAACACCAGGCTAGAAAAAACAGATAGCACTGCCCCTGTGCTGACAGTCTGCTCCATATCGAACTTTCTCTATGCATAACTACAGTAATCTGCATCCCCACCCTGCCTCATTATATACCAGAGTAATAATTGCAGGGACAAGCCCTGAATCAGCAGCATTCAAATGAGGGTCCTCAACTAAAGAGCTGGCTACAAATTAACACGTTTAAAGGGCTCCCTGATTCATTTCCACCCTCCGCTCCTGCCATCATCATAAAATGCTAAACTAGATAACCCAAGAGTGGTGGCAGAGACACTGCTGAACTGGCAATGCCAAAAGAGTACTCAAGTCTTTAAAGTCTAACCCTGAACGAAAGGCTTTCAAAATCAGCATCTATCCAAAGAGACTGCCTTAAAGGAACAGAAGGAGGTTCATCCTCAGAACTACTGCAAAGCCCCATAAAAGCTTCATGATTCTAGAGGACTCTTCAGATGGAAGCCACCAGCATCACTCTGGCCCTCCCCTGAACTGGAAAGACCAGGGCTTCGGGGCTGGGCTATGTCCAAAGCCCCAGGTTCCACTAAAACCATCAGCTTCCCAGCACAGGGACAACACAGTGACAACAGAAGTGGGCACGCTGCAGAAAAACATGACATGAAAGGAGAAGTCTCTGCTTTGATTTCTCTCCAAGCGCCATCCTAGACAAATGGGGCCAGCAGTGATGAAAGAGGAGTTTGTAAAGCCTCAGACTGCTAATAAGGCCTCAAGGGAGCGAATGATGCACATGGTCCAGTGAGCTTCTCCTTTACTTGTCCAGGGGAGCAACACCAACAAGCTGATCCTTGGCAATGGTGCAGCTTCTGCAAACTGATTTCAAAGGGTTACCTTACACCCGAGTGCCAAGGAAAATAACACAAGCAGCACAACTAGACCAATTTCCACTGGGATCATACAGATTTTGTTTTTCTTCTGAGCATTTCAGTTCAGGAGGGTCCCTTTCTTAGGAACACAGAGGGCAGCTCTCCTGGACATGTTGTACTGCAGATCAGCACAGCTGTGGGGACAGGAATGAGGTCGGCACAAGCGAGACAAGCACCACCAAACACATGGGCAAAACAAACCTGACCACTAAGAGAGAGAGAGTGGGAGCCAGGAATCAGAAGAAGGTTTTTGACTTGGCAGGATTAAAGTTATCTTTCAAACCTAATCATAACCAGACAAATGACCCAGAAAAAACGCATGACTGCATTTCCTATTTTATGGGGAGAATCCGCAGGAACCTTGAGGGATCTATCCTTCTGCAGATAAGAGAAGGAGCAGAAAAAAAGGAGGAGAGCCTAGACTCTACGTAAGGCTGAAATTCTGGGTCAGAGGAGAGACCAAGCACAGACCACTTGCGCTGCTGCTCTCGACGTCACACGGCTGGTGCAGCTGACGGGGTTGGCTGGGCACCTTGCTGTTGCCACAGTTGTGTGTGACAAGAGGAAAAACATACATATGGCTTTGACTATGTCTGTTGCTAAAAGCAGCTGCTTGGCTTCCCATGGAGTCATCCAAGAAGATGCCTGAGAGAGCACTGTTCCCAGGGAAGCTTCCTTATTAAAGGCAAGCGGGAATAAGCTCCCCAGCAACAGTAGCTGCAGGGTACTCTGCTTGGCTGCCAGCTCACTGCTGTGGACACTATCACTCGCCTAGGTGGGGCTTCAAGACTCGCACTTCGGTCAATATAAACTGGCATTGCTCTGAGGATTCCCTGAACACTAAGCCGATTTATTCCCCTTGCTCAATCTGGGCTTTGGAGTTACACTCCATACTCACAAAATAGCCTCTGTGATCAGTCCTTAAGCCTTTTCATGACATAATCAAATTTTGGGAGCACAATATATAAGTGGTCACTATTGTTAATTGACCTCAATATCAAAAGGAAAGAGGGGAAGGGGGAGGACAAAAATAAAAACAGAGAGAAGAGCGCTACCTGAGGGAAAAATTCCCTAGAGTTCAGGAGTGCATTTCCTGATGGTCACATAATGACAGGTGATAAGTAAACCTGAATGACAAAGAACCATTACTTCATCCCAGGTCAAGACCGGGACAGAGTTCTACCTAAGACACTAATAAAGGTTGTACACAACCAGCTTCTCAAAGGATCCCCCAAGCAGTCCTGCTCTTGGGCAGATGTTTGGCTTCCTTTCTGCATTCTTCATACAATGAGCATCCCCTCAGCTTGCTTTGGCCTTTCTGCTTACCCTGACATGATTTAGGTTACAGAAGAATAGCTGAGCGCCCCCACATGGGGACGGTCCAATATCCAGCTGTGCCTCTGACAGCAGGATCCATTTTTTTTACCCTGCAAAAAAAAGAAAAGCAATTCGACAGTCCCAACTTATCCTTCCACATGAGGCTGCAAAGGGCAGAATATTCGCCTGCTTTATGGACAATGCTGATGCTGTTGGTTAACCAACAGTCACAAAAGTCACAAGTGAAGCCTGCGCCTGCCCATCAGATCAAAACAAGCTTGTCAGCAATCACAGGTCCACACAGCACCTACGCTTCCAAAGCGGGCACCAAGCCCCATGACTCTCACTGGAGTGGGATGAGTCCAGGCCCTTTACAAAGACCTTAGTGCCACTGTGTATTAAGGATTCAGGAACCGGGCACTAGCTGCATTTTACCATCATTAGCAACTGAAACAAGGACAGTCTTACAGTGTCACACAGGCAGTTGTACTCACGCAGGCCCACTGACCAGCCCAGGATTTCCTCAAATGGGTAAGAGTCTGTAGAAGCCTGTAGATCTTCAAATCCAAGTTTGTGGAAAGCCACAGGATCCACTTGTCTTTTGCAGGGAGGAGGTGGGTTTTGCTGTCAGAGGCAAAGCTGGCTGTTAAAGCTACACTATCTGAAGATGTTTAGCTGTTCTCCTGAGTGTAAGAAAGGGGCTCTGCACAGCTGGCACAAAAAGCATTCTTGGTTGTTTGGCCAATACAGGTGCATTCCCTAACACGAAGGGCTCTAGCAGCCCCAAGAGGAGACACACAGACTTCAGAGACATCCATCTTGCCTGTTACTTGGAAAAACACCACAAGAAGTGGTTCATGTTACAAAACTGGAGTAGGCACATGCGAGTGACTCAAACACTTAAAAGACTTTGTGTCTCCAGCACAACAGCTTGATGTCCATACAGAGGATTCCTGGGGGAAAAGCGTCAATGCATTTCACGGCAATGCACCTCGAAGCTTGAGAGGGCACTTCAAAAGCTGTAACCCTGGAGAATAAATCCAAGATCCCTAATGGTAAAGTGCTTAGCAAGGGCTAGCCAAGGTCGTAACAGCCCATAAATAACTCCTGGTCTCTTATTTCAATATGAGGCCCTCTGTCTAACTAACGCATGCCTGCTGCTCTTTTCCTGGGTATTCTCACATGTGCCTCCAAGCTCTACACCGAGCTCTTACAGCGCCAATGATTTTGTCAGGGCTTTCAGTTCAACGTGAGCACAGAGCGAAGCCTTAGTGCCATGCACAAATAACGAGAGACTGCTCCCCACCCAGGGAAACGGCAGGTCAGCTCGGAGGCAAGCTGCACAGAAGCAGAGGCCAGAGCACAGGCTCCGAAGCTGAAGAAGTTTTACACATGAGCTTACGCTCCAAAGTCCAGGAAAATTTCTGTTCCCTTTGATCAGGGTCTCCAGAAGGATTGAGGCCAAACAACACCACAAAGGAAAAGTGCTCTGCAGTCCTATCCAGCAAGGATTTTTCTTAGGTCAGTGGAATGTCACAGAGCTTAGACGCAGGAAAGCACTAACTCTATCTACACGCACCCCAAACAGCAAGGCTTCTGCAGAACTCCCCTCCCCTTGCCACCCAGCAAAAGATACTATTTAATACTCCCATTTGACAACGCAACAGGCAGCACAGGCTAGCAGTCACTGTAACCTCTAAAGTCCTCAGGCTGTTACACCTACTCCCTGATGGCAACCAGCAAACTCAGGTATTCAGGACCCCAGCACAGCCCGCAGAAGGCTGAGCTGCTTCCCCAGGACAGGCTGCAGGTCTCCTCCTCTCACCACCACCCCTTCCCTGCCATGATCTCACTCCAACCCCTGACCCTCGCTCTGCAACCTGCAGCGTCAGGAGGGTTTACAGCAGGGACAAAGTGCAGAGATACCAAGCCCCAACCAGGCACCTGTCCCCCTTTCACTTTCTGAAACCAGCTCAGTTGCCTTTGAGCATTTCCCATCAGAGACATATGC